ATAAGAAGGAGGCTTTGAAATATACACTTGAAGAATTTATAGTTGGTTCTGCGATATTCTCGATGATTGAAGACTCAAAACAACTTGAAAACTGATCTTAATGTATTTTAATAATGGTGAATGATTTCGATACATCAATAATATCGACCTTATATTATAATGTATATTAAGTTATATTTCCAACAACATCTGTTTAAACTGTGTTCCCAGTCAAGGAGTCCACCGCTAAAGGCTGCACCGCTAATTTTAATTCCTGGTTACAGCAGCAATTAAAATATTAACACGTTTGACGGGTCGCAGTCCGCTTTGTTTGCGGACTGCGGAAATACAGAACTACGTAATTAAATAAAGTTAGTGTCGAACGGATTTACATTAAACAGTAACGACGTTACAAAATATAACATAATTTGCTTTCAAACATTTCATTCAGAGCGGAAAGTGTTTATGAATGTAAACTACTCGTATATACCTACTTGTGTATATATGTACATGTGTACATAACGAGCACGCAGGAGCTACTCAACATTCCTGAGAAATAGGTTTTGACATTTAAACACGAGAGCATAATTGTGAGCGTCTTTTGGAGGCGACGAGAAGAAATTAGAAAAAATATTCACAAAGGAAGTTCTCTGAGGCAGAACAAACTTCAGAGGGGAATGCACATTATAATATGATGTCTTCACTTTCTTGACGTGGAATTTAAAGGCTTTCTCGTTTTTATGGGAAACATTAATTTGTACGTTTGATGGAACTATGTAGACTCACTGAACAGACTGTGTCGTGAGTTAACCGATTGATTTGTATACATTTGTTCATACAACAGTTATTATTTGTTCCACGAATAGTTTTTCTAACTCCGAGGACACAACACAGACGTGAGGAGTGTTCAGTGTGAGGAGCACGTCTCGTCCACAACACAATAGTCGCTCGATTGAGCAAAGTTCAAATAGAAACTTCGGCCAGTTTTACAGAAAAGGTTTTGGTCTGTATCCAAAATAGTTGCTCAGCAACTTCTAAATAGAAGATCAGAGGTTCAATTTAAATATCATCTGCTGTTGTTACGATCTGAACACACACACAGACGGAGATCGAATCAAATACACATTTAAATTGTTCTCTTTGAATGATGTTTAGGAAATTACACATTTTTGTATCGGATCGAAGATACAGAGCTTTAAATTTTTAGAGAATACTTTCTGTGAGTTTCGGAAACTGTTCTCTGTTCTTGCATTTGATTATTTATAAAGAAATGTAACATTTGTATATAACGTGAGTTTAATTAATGACGTATCTACTCAGTACAGTATACATTAAAATTTGTCTTATTTATTATTAAAGAGAATGAAATTGAAACCATCTCAGTAACCGTGGATCCGACTGGTCGGTTGTTTATTCATGAAATCGTTGACTGGACTAATAAAGGACGATGAACCCGAGGTGCCGAATTAATGCGAAACTTGGCAGTTCAGACAGATGTTTGTCGGATATTTGTAGGATTAAAATAAATTTAATACTTAACTGATAATAACTAACAAGGCTATAAATATGTACTAAACTCATCTTTATTAAAAAAAAAAAAACAGATTTTTCTAAACACTTTATATCTAGAGAGGATAGACACTTAGTTCCTAATATAACACATAAAACTCTTTCATCGCGACTGAAAATAATAAAACTGCAATATTTAACCATCACCATGAAGTCTTAAAAAAGGAAACAAAAAGTTAATTTAGAGGAAAAAAATGATCTCAACTTTAGCTAGCAACTCCCAACGTTGGAAAAATTTTGCACGGCTCTTTATAAAATATTAGCAGCATCTATTCATCTTACGAGATAAAAGTATCGCAGGTGAGGTGTATCGTTACAAAAATGTTGCGGCTATGTTTCAATATTGGACACGCTTTTACGGGATATTATAAGACACGGTCGCACTCGGCGCCTGTTGGAACTTAAAAGCAAAATATTGTACGTGTTACTTTTATTATGAACATGTCAGGCGCTCCGTTATTAAAGGACGCATTACTCGCATTCTAAGTACATATTTGAGAATATGTATCTAAAAAACTTTGTATTGTAATAAAAGCTTAGAAAAACTAGTTCACGCGGAACGGTATAAAGCGATGGAAACAAAACAAAGGAACACTCAGAGTCCTATTGGTGGGTCAGTGGCAGTAGAAGTTGAGAACAATACGATATTTTACAATCAAATATATCAATGTATTTGTTGTGTAAGTAACTAGTAAGATGTTAATTAAACTCAAATAAGAGGAGTCGAATTGAATTCTGAAGGTGGTAGAACCTAGCTGTGGTCAAATAACTAACTACAAACCGAACATGGGCTAGCTCGAACATTTCGTTTTTTGAATATTTTGACTGTAAAAGTCTGAATTTTTCTTATGTCATTAAGTTTAGTCTAGTATTCGCAAAATAAAAAAAAAACACTAGCGAGCAAAGTCGCGGGAGATATGTATAACATTATATTTATAGAGTTAGCGTTGAAAACTTTACATTTAAATAATTTGTTGGTTGAGGTCGTGAGGCGGACGAATGGGTTGACTCGCGCCGGTCGACACGCCTTTTAAGCGAATTGAAAAACTTTTATTATGACCAATTTATAATATTTTATTTAGCATTTGCGGGATGAATGTAAGAGTATGAACCATTTCAGAGCCCACTCCCGAAAAGCTTACTCAAAGGCTTCCAAAGGTTGAAAGTCACTAAATGTAGATGAACGTGTGTGACGATCTCTCAACTGTATGTTATATCTGGGTGTAATTTCCCGATACATCAGCGGGAGCCGTCAATCGATACCGGAGCGGGGCTGGTCTCTAACATTTTAATGGTTGTAAACAGGTTTAAAGAAGACGTCACTCTGACTAATGTACTTTTAATTTGTGCTCTCGACTGGACGGTTTTACTTTTAAAGGAATTCTACATTGAGCGGCTCTAATTGGAACAGGCTTTTACATTTTTCACAGCCTATTCGATGTTCCCGCTCAAGTCACTGACCCTTCCACTGTTTTGACATCGTTGTCGTTCGGGTTAATCGATGAGATGAATTAGGTCTGTGGAATAAGTCATTTATTAATTCGAAACTAATTGATTTCATCTCCAAAGGGAAAAGAGAAAATTAATTGATAAAGGGCTTATTATATTAATTCCGTTACTTATTTTTTGAAGCACCTTTTTTAAATAACAAAGTTTAAGATAAAAACACACTACCTATTTTCAGGGAGTCCAACAGTGTTAAATGATTAAACATGAACAAAAACTGTTGTGGTTTAAATGGTTCACGAGGTCGCTTTAAAGTCGAATACTCTGTGTATACGAGTATAAACTTTTACATATTCTCCACTCTTTACATCTCATTCTATTTTCTATTACAATTGGTCAATTTTGTTAACAATTGAAATGAAAAATGTAGTGGCAGTGAGATCTTAGAAATTGAATTAATGCAAGTAATTGGCTTTTCACAGACAGAGAGAGAGTGGATCTTTCATAAAATAATTGGAGCTGTGAGGACCCTTTTAGTGAAATTTTATTATTATTTCGCTGCGATTCAGTTGTTGGTATATCAGAAGTAATTTATCATTGGGGAGTGTCGCTGTCGCGTCCTGCGCTGCCCGCTCAGAAACAATAAACTATCTCCAATGATTTTATTTATTATGACGAGATATCGGATCCGATGATAGGAATAGTCGCGGTACAGAGTACGAACAGGAGTAAACAGACCCGTTTAGAACGCACTCACACTACGATAAAAAAAAACGTTTTATAACAGAGTTAAGTATTAATTAATTCGTTAGAAATAAAATTAAAAAAATAAAATCCTAGCAGCCGTGGAGAAACATAAAAAGTATGACATTTTAATGCGGTAGGTAAAACTCATTTTTACACATAATTAGGTCAATTGCGAGAAATCGCGAGACACTTCCGCAAATGAGAGATTTTTATAGAAAGGAGTTTTATATTTTATTCCGTCCTTTTAAATATATTTGGTTGAAACATTAGCGGGCTTCCAGTCGACTTACAACACTTTATGTTATATTAAATAAGAGCCCGTACTGAGCTGTTAAAATATATTATAAAGATACGTTACTGGCCACAGCATCAAAGGAAACTTTACGAAACACAATACGAGAGGCGATAGATCTATTAAAACTAAACGTAATAAACGCTAAGTAGATTATTGTCTGCAGATGAACATGATATCACATTATATATAATAAATTGGTTCGTCTTTAATGTATTCAACGGTACGAGCAGCCCTCGACATATTAAAATTGAATCGGAAACTTTTAACAAAATAATATCCTATAATAAAATATTCTCCGCCATATATTTCACGATTTCTTAGTTCCGAGCAAAAAAATTCCGAGTCTAGAAAAACTGCAGCCGTGCTTGAAATAACAGTTAAAAAGTTTGCTTGATAAAATTCTCTAAATTTGTTGTCGTAATTGCTTGCTCTGTAACGGTTCTCGTGTACGTTAATTTTCACTCGATATCTGTAACGATGTATATACTCCTAGTAACACTAAGTTCAGCTCGTTCCTGTAATCCTCGTCCTCTGGGAGCGGATGATCCGGAGACTGATCACAGTCTAACATATGTTTTAATAACATATTTACTGTTAACAAACTAGAGTACTACCGGGAAGTTTATACACTACACACCACAAATAAATTAAATATAACAACTCCCACACAAGTTTAAAAACTGAAAATTAATAATAAAAGTAGTGGATTATATTGTTGAGTCGCTTCTGAGGAATAAGAAATAGAAATGTAACAGAATAGCAGTCTAGCTGCTGGAGATACTAATTTTAAGTTGCAGCGAATAAAGTAAATGTTTTGCTTTTAGTGAGACGTCGTTTAGAGTACACGATACGTGCACGACACGTACACGACTCGACAAACTTTCAACATTAGATTAAAGTGTTTAAGTGTTGCTTCGTTAGTGTTTTTCTATCGCGTCCACATCAGAACACTATTTCCTACGTTCTAATCGTCTCCTTGTATTTCGGTCCACATTTCTCCCGAGCCGTCGCGACGTCTCTTTCCCCGGTACATATTCCTATTCATCGCGGGCCTCTCTGAATCGTTAAAGTCCCTGTTTCCACAGTAAGTGTTATTGAATAGCGTACGTGCACTGAGTAATAACATCATTTTAGTGATCTATGGAATATATGTTCTAGATTTATAGTTATTACTGACTAACCCTAATGAAACTGTTCGGACCTCGTTTACGAGCTACCACAATCACATGAGAACATTATAATATAGAGTGAATACAGACAGACCGCTTTAAAACATTCCTTTGATAATGATATTGAAGATTCCGTTTGTCATGTTTATATATATTATATTAATTTAATGTTATAATATAATGTAGTGTGATGTAAACATCTCTCGGCTAATTCTCAGCCACAGTGAAGGCGGTCCGGCGAGAAGACACACGATGTGCTCTTGAAAATATATTTTTAATGTTTGTTTTACTTTTATTGCTGTACTGAAATATTAAAACGCTATTTCATTTAAATTACACATACAATCATTTATATCAATATAACATTACATGTAAAGTAAAGAGACGACATAAAGAAATCAATATGTAAAATATATATTGAATAAAAATAAAATGGATGGATGTAACAATTGTTAAGTAATAATTCACGAAGGGAACGTATTCAAATAAAATAATTTTTATATGATGATGTTGGAAACGTAACATTGTCCCGATATCGAAACAAAAGACATTTTTAAGGCGAACGGGGTCAAGTGTGTCTGAAAGCCGCACAATGCGGGGTCGGCCAGGACCCGCGGTTACTGTTTTAGCGGAATCATATTTTTAATGGAAGCTCCTCGTGTAACTGAACACTGGAGTGGATTAACATCCCCCGCCAACAAACTGAAAGCTTCTCCACACTGACATCGTGTTACGTGATAGCCGTCTGCCACTCTTATGTTTGATTACTACAAACTTATATAAATGTTTGAAGTTATGTATCTACTCACTATACATCCAATATACTTTAAGTCCGCGTTACGGTTTATACGACGCGGGGCTTAAGTGCGACGGTAGGAGACACTTCAAGAGAGTAATGACCGTCAATATTAATATTAACATTAAAGTTATTCAACAACATAATATCTTAAAACTGAAAACTTATTGAATTTTATATGTTTATAGTGTGATTGTTTATATTTTATCCACGGCCTTTCCCGTCTAGAGCACTGTGACCGTCGTACAGAACATTCGTTGATATAGACGCGACTTATCTTAGAGCTCAGCATCAAGGAGTCTCCTCACAAGACACGGACAACTAAATAAACACTCGAGTGTATAGCTCTGTCAAATAAGCTGTACAAGTCATGTGACACACGCTATATGTACAGCTTAAAATTACACCAGCCTGGCCGAACATCACTTCATTATGAATATATGTGAATTGTTCACTTGGTATTACGTTAAATACCGAGGCTTTTTAATTATAGCGACAAACACAGACAAACACACGTGTATTTATATGTCAAACGTAATAAGTCAAGGTTCAACTCTAAGAGTTAAAGAAACAATAGGAAAGAGTCAGATAATATAACATCTGCTTCCATATTATATTTTATAAGTTTATTATAAAACAATTATGCGGAAGTTCAGTTGGAAAGTTCGAGAGCCGTGAGCTTCAACAAACAACGAGGAGGGTCCGTGTTCGACTCCCGGCTGGGAAGGCTGCATCCGAACTGAATTTATAATATATATAAAGTTTATACTTTACACAACTAGAAGACGGGACGTTGAAAACATCGCATTGAAGTGAATCATGTGAAGTAAGAATTAAATGTTTGTTAAATGAAGCGGAGAGCTGTTTACATGAAATAGATAAAAATTATAAACTTCAGATTGTAATCAAATATTTGATGTAAAAGATACAATAATTAAATTCAGAATCAAGAGAATTTATTTGATAATGTCTCATCTTCCGAGGAGGCTTGAGATTAATGACTTCTAATTTAATGAATACACTAATTAATTATCATTATGTTTGAGTTAGTGTTTAATCGTGTCAATAATTTGTTGTATTCATTACGTCACATTATAATAGCTAGTATAACGTTTAAAGGTCGCCGCGACTCCGCCGATCCGCTTCGTTATAATCTGAGTGAATTTAATGAAGCTACTGGTCTTTCCACTTAGCGGTCGCCACCTGACTTCCGAAATCCATTTAGGGAGGGTCGAGGGTTGCTTCAATTTTAGATTAAAAATCTTAATATTAAAGAAATTTCTTATAAATAAATGGAAAATATAAAAAATATAAGGTCTCGTGTGTCTATTTGTCAAGTGGAGGCGACACGTTCAGACGACACGTATTAGTTGTGGAGTTATGACACTAGCAGTCGCACCCGGCGACGCTCGCACACGGCCCGCGCTCACTACGGACACTTTATATACTTTATATTATAAAGAACCTGACGTACATACGTGTGAGATGACAAATGAGACACATTTAATATATTGTTATCAACGAACTCACACGACTGATTCTTGATATGATGTATGATCATCAACAATATTCAAAATATTGGTTTTACATATGTAATTGATAACAACACGAGTTCAATATATTGACTTAAACTTTTACATATGTATTTGATATGAAGATAAAACATAAACATAAAAATCTTCTATTAAAATATTACTTAAACACAAAGATCTGTTTTAAAGTAGCATTTATGTATTTTTTAAATATATTTGTCAAGTTTAGAAGCCATCTTCTGAACACATCTATCTATACCTAGCTCTGATCAGTTCCACGTCCTACATGTTATGTTCTAACTCTTAATATTTCCCTCCCTTAATAGTTCCCTCGTATCATCATGTACACGCTAGTTACCAGTGAGCCCTCTGTATATATTCTCATCTGTGGCACGTCGTCTTCGCTCTCAGCCACTGGCCCTGTTTCACCTTTCATATATTTAGGTTAGCTAACTAGCTCGGGTTTCGGTGATTTCCCCCCACAATGCACACTATCATATAAATCAAAGTTCGTCCGCTCCACAGAGCCTCGTGGAACGGAATTCATAATGAACAATGACCAGGGAGGTTTTAACAATCACGTCTGTAAACTTTTAATATAGAATCCTTTACAATTTTTCTCATTAGGAAGGCAGATGCAGTAATCCTGTTGGCGTGTACTCACTTTCTTTATATTCAATTCTCGACCGGCGTGCTCCTGAACTTTGTACACATTATAATGAGGGAATCAGTTTATAAGAACACAATACACGCACACCTACATACACACAGTACGGTACGGTACAGTACGAGTATGTCATGTTTAATATCGGTGTGAGAGGCGCTCCGGCTCCGCTTAATGTATAGAACACACACAGCACAGACGTGCACAACTTGATGCCGATGTAGGTTACCATTTGAAGTCGACATTTCGTTAGTGATACTTCATACGTTGGACAAACTAACTGCACTCGACCTGACGAGTGTGTGTGTGTGTGTGTGTGTGTGTGTGTGTCTGTGTGCGTGTGTGTGTAGACCCAGAACGTAAACACGGCTTCAGGACGGACTCAAATTGGATCCGGTCCTTTTTAAATAAACGCTAACGACCTCAAATTATGTATTAGCGAGAGATGTAAATAAGATAAGGGGGAGTGAAACTCATAAGCGACTTATAATTAACATGGTTTACGAAATGTTTCACATTAAAGATGAACGATTATCGTGATCGCCTTGAGGTACTGTCTACATGAACACTCGCCTGTATTAACAAGCTCAGAATGATTTGTAATGTCACCTGTGAAAATCTTTCTTGGGCGTCGAGTATGTCGATGAACAGAGACAGCTTGTGGTCCATGATGGGGAACCCGTTCCGGGGCTGCTGCAGCAGGTGACGCACGGCCTCCCGCACGGCGGCCGGCGTGCTCGGGGTCCCGGGGGTCCCCAGGGAGGGCACGGGGCCCATGAGACCCGACAGGCCGTGGAACGTCGCGGATAGCTTGGGGGCGTTCTGGACCCCCGGCAGGGACAACCTTCTAGAAGTCGACGGCGGCACAGCACCATAACCGTTCGTCATAATCGCGGGCCGTTGTAACTGATAGTCACTGCGGGAGGACGGCATGGTGAGCACGCGAGGCAGCGTGGCGTGAGGCGCGGGCCGGAGAGGCACCGGCGCCACCAGGCCCGGGCCCGGCCCGAGCCAGTCATCGTCCACGGCGCCCAGGGAGTGAGGCCTCCTCGGGACCGGCGGCACCTGGCGGCCCGACACCGCGCTCTGAGGCCGCCGCGGACGACGCTCGGGCTGGATGGGAGCGGGCGGCGTGTACGGGGAGAAGCCGCCGAAATCCGCGAGAGGCAGAGGAGGCTTCGTAGGTTCGGGGGCCGGCGGCGGAGGGTCGTCCCAGGGCCACAGAGTCAGGGAGTCCGGCTTCCGGGGCGGCGCGGGCCTGGGCCTGCCCGCCCCCTCGGTCATGGCGGGCGCCGGCAGGGTCACATGGCGCGAGGCGTCCGTCGCGCGCGGCGTCCGCCGGCCGACTGCCGTCGCGACGCCACGCATCACGTTCCCGTTACGTTCCGAAGGGTTCACAGCCTCGCTACGACGCTACGGTGCTACGGTGCTACGGAGCTACGAGCGTCCTCCTCCACGGTTACGATGGATGTTTGATTTTAGGCTTTACTGTTATCTGAAGTTATCACGCATCACACTGATCGGACTGAAGCGACCGAAGGTGAAGATCACAATAGATAGATCACAGTATATGTACTCTGATGACGAACTACAACATATTTAATTCGTTCCTTTAAACAGTGGCCGCGTCGTCGGAGCTGAGAGAAGTCATTTAATAAAACACTATGGCGATATAACTGTTCCCGGGAGCGCGGTTGAGCTAATTATTTATTTTAATGGTCATGCATGTGCATGTTCATATCATTTTTAATCGGTTCATGAAATTAATCTATTTTAATGGCTCAATCGAACGTATATTTAATATGTAAATGACTATAATGTATCATATAACAGGCGGAGAGTCCGAGGGACTTTAAGTATTAGAAGGCTGCAGAGACTCCTCACGGAGACTTAGAGGGACTTTATTAAAATGAAACTTGTCCGAATCTTATAATGAATGTTGCGAAACTTTTAGCAGATGATACAAGTTGAACTGTGACTTATAGAAGTTGGAGGTCTTAGTGGACGGAGAGATACACAGAGATACAAAACAAGAGTACAGACACTAAACATTACCACACACCACATAACACACATAACATTCACTATTTTAAAGTTGGTCAACTGAGAGGAACTATTTTAGCGTGTATCGTGTTTTCCCATGAATTATTCCTTTATCTGATGCTGTACCTGCACCAGTTCGAGCCGCAGTACTCTTGAGGGATACACTGAACATGTATGTGCGTGTGTTTATAAATCAAGTTAGCCAAATGGAAGCCGGCAGGGATATACAAGGTCGTAAGTCGACACCGAAACTGTCGGCACAGAGACATAAACAATAACGTATGGAGGAGGGACACTTGGACATACATTACAAACATTATTGATGTTTTAATACAACTATGAGGAGGGATGTAGTTTTCTAAAATGTTAGACATCAAGTGAGTGTCTCTCAATAAATCCACGTACTAAGTCCTGGGCTCCTCATGGTGAGTTCCACTTCAATATTAACAGTCGTGTAAGTGTAATGCTTTAAGTGTTATAATTTTGGTTTCCATATATTTAGATCCAAACAGAGCGGGGCCGATGACCTCTGAAGCATCTTGAGTGCAGTTATTTCTGTTTTCGGATTTCATTGCACCCATTGTTAAGTGTTCCCCTTTAAGTACTGAACCATTATTTCGATATCGGCCAACAACACTCACGATACTATTTTGATTCTTATTTTAATGTTCGATTTATTCACGTTTTCAATTTATTCCAATAACTCATTAATATTGAAAATAAAATTTATTTCACATAACAAATAACAGTAATAACTTTATATTAAACATGTGAGTCGTTGAATTTGATTATGTGAGTAGGAACGACAAAAGTCAGAACAAAGTTTTCCTTAGTGCAGAAATATAAATAGATAATAAATTTGTGTTCAGTATATTATTGATAATTGTAATTATAAAACGTACGAGGAACTAGAAATATGTTGTTGTTTTAATCCGGTCGTAAACAATGGTCCGTATCAAAGCGGAGGATACATTAATAGTATATAAGACGGACTGTGGATGGTGAACTATAAATCAATTTGGTGAAGGGCTGGCCGTGGACTACGATCTGACGACTCTAGGGACCGGAGTACACACTTTGATTCATATGAAATACTTATAATTGTTATAACGTACCTACACACGTTAAATTCGATGTGGTAAATATTAAAAATATATCACAAACATAATATTTCAGAATATTAATAAATTTAAAACCATCGACAGTAGAGCGTACATCCCTAGATCGATTCGAGCGTGGAGGCGAGCGGAATGAGAACAGTAACAATATCGACACGAGCCCCTCACTAGCCGTTATACGCACTGCAACAAACCCCATTGGAAACAGCGCAGCTATTTCTTTTATGTTCCCGGTCTTTGTTCCCTTTTTATTATTACAGAGTAACTTATATAATAGAAATTTCAGCGAAAATCCTTCGCATTGTTTGTCGGAGATTACCAAAGTGTCGCGTTATTAATCCACACTTTGAAACGTCTCGATACTGCTCGTCTCCTCGCCACCTCCAGCACCGTGAGCCCGACACGTGTTACAAATGAAACTATATCGAAATCATTATTTAAATAATTTCATTTCATTCCCCGAGTGTTCGCGGAGGGAGCTCCTCCCAGTATCTCCGTCTCGATGTTCTCTAACGACATTTTAATGTGTCTTTATTCGTGGTCATTCTGTTTTTCGACCGTTCTGTTTAAGATATTACTATTTTTTAATGAGCACTGTAACTCACGCACGCCATATGTTAATAATCAAATCGTTATGAACGGTGGACTAGCTCCACACACACTGCACGAGTACCCGGGACTCGCGACCGTCTTTTCTTTCTCATGAAAAGGTTTTAACAAATCAGAGTCCTTTTTTCACGTCACAAAAGGATTCTTGATATAATACGTCGCAATATATAAAAGTATTCGAACATAAAAATCAAAACGCGAAAACAATAGACCTTTCCGTAAGAATAAAAATATCGACCATCGCATCTCGCCCTCCCAGTATCATTAGGGGAATATGATGTCGGGGCTCAAATTAAATTAGTCATGACAGCGATAACAAGGGCGACTCTTATCGGCCGATTTTCTTTTGAAACGTTCTGATATTGTAATTCCTCACTAAAAGAGATTTAGTCGATAAAAGCCGACGTAAAACGCATTCGCGCTCCAAATCGGTCGACGAAAGCCGATTGTTTTAAACTAGACTCCGAGGCTCGGATCGAATTTAAAACAGTTGACATGGAGTTTAAAGTAAATTAATGAGTGGTTCGGTCCGAGGACGGCGCGGAACAGACTGTTATATGGAGCTGTTGTGTACAAACATTAACACGACGTACTAACTATATACACAGAGCGCGACTTTACTTATTGATATGAACGAATAATCAATAATATATGAAGATAATTACCGAGAAGCTTCAAGAGTGATTTGTTTTCGAATAAGTTCATTATTGTTTTAAACTGACCTCGCTAAGCGACCAGGCAAACTAAATACACATAATATGTTTAAAAGGTTCATATACCAGTTAGTATAAAACATAATGTTTTCGAGTCGATATAAACAGAAGTCACATAGAAAAATAAACCAAATGTTTCAGTTCAATTCATCAGTAGTATAATATAAAATATATGAATATTTTAATATGTTTTAATGTCTTAATGTTTGTTCAGGGCATCACAATAGGCAACCTGTGTTAGTGTCGCGATGAAATATTTGACAGACGCCTATCGAGTCATCTTCAATATGCGCATTATGGATGAGGTGAGGAGTGACGACACCCGTGACGGACATACACACACACACACACACGTATACATACTAACATACACATATAGTACAACATATAAAGAATAATTACAACGACAGACTGAATGTAATTTAAACGATATAAGGTACATATTTTTATATTCTCCATAATATAACGTCAATGTTTTAATCGTGTTTATAAACTGTGAATTAATTATGAACTTTGTTAAACTCGTCGTGTTCGTTTTTTAACAAACTCTTAAATTCAAATCTAATTTCAAAGTCGACAGTTGAGAGTAAACTCACCGGCGACGCGGACTCCTTACTCTTACCTGAAATAATAAAAATAATATTAAATATATATGAACAGCCTTCACATACTATACATACATATATCATTACAGTTTGAAATAAATATACCGAAATGAATAAAATAATTATAATTTTAAAGGTTACTTCATCACTCTGTACATACATTTATATATTTTATTTCAATTAACATTGTTATATTCACCTTACTACTGTTTTCATGACTGTTAACTGTCAGTTTCGTAGTTTTCTTATGTCAGTATTGTAATGTACATAGTCATAATTGATTAATTATTTATATTTGGTAACACGTCAATTTTTAAGATTACCTGAAGTTATGTTTTCTATCCATATTTCTCGTTACCGAATCTCTTTACTCTCAGTTTTTATGAAATCGAGTGTGTTTATTAATTGAGAATAATTTATAATAATATACTGTACGTGTATCGAGCCTTGCGTGTCTAGCATATTGTTCCAGAGTTTAAACAAAAGCAGTTTTATGTAACACCAGACACATTTCAGATCATTATGTTATTTTGAGTTTACATTTAACTTAATGTAACTGATAGTTGGTGAGTGCTATCCTAGGAAAAGTTCAAGCGTTTGATAGTGAAGGTATGTTGTGAGGCATGTAACTCATGATACTGCAGTCTTTTTTACTATTGTTAGTCTCGGATGTTAAACCAAACTAATTTATATTTTTTTTAAATTACTATTCAGAGCAATGTGATCTTAATAACACTGAAACGAATATTAAATGAAAAAATATACAAAGACTTAATATATTGAGTGAGAATGCTTCACTTATTTTCAATTGTACGAAAGTACACGCTACTGTTATAACACAAAATTTTATAAAGTCTCAAATAGTTGCATGACTGAGAAAAGTTTATACGAGAAATAATATTAAAATGACTTAGAAAACAGTTAAATAAATGTTGGATTCAAGATGACGAAACTGAATATAGAAAAAGCTGAGTGAGTGATCTGTGAAAGGTCGCTTTGAGGAGTCGTCTACATGGAGAACGACGCGAGGATACAGACTACGATAGAACAATTATTATTGTGTGATGAATCAGGAGGTTCGGGACACGTCACTTGATAAAGAGCTCCATAGATTCACATTATAAATCGCTGAGTGTTGTACGAGATCGGCGGAGAAACGTATTAAAGATCCGCTCGTAAAGAACATCAAAGAAACAGAAAGAGATGAAAATAAATTAATCCTTTGTAAGTCGGCGCCGGCGGAGTCGCCGCTGGCTCGGTACATTTCGTTACTATATATTTTTCACATTAAGTTTCTTTAAGAACTGCGTCCTATTAAAATTGTTTATCGCCGCGCTACGACCTCCGCCGACTACACGGACCTATATTATTATAATGTCTTCACTATCTCTTACTATTTATAAGTTCCTAATAATAAACAAATCATATGAGTAATGTATGTATGATATAAGCACGTGACGTGTCCCGACTCCCGGTGTATCGATCACGAGCAGTCTCCGAACACATTAAACTCAGGTAATTACACGCAGTCGGTAAACAGCGCGCTTTAATTAACGTAAAAAGTACGCTTTTAATTTGAAACGATCTTACTTTTAAAACAAATGCGCTGAATTAGTAAGTGTAATTGGAAGCATTAACCGTTTAATGTTTACTACCACCGACTGCTCTGTAATGTTCACCTAATGATTTACGACGAACACATTTATACAACTACAATACAAATGTTACAGTTAGAACGTATTTTTAGAGTCTACAACAATACATTTAGTGTGATCGCTTAACCAGTGATTATAAATATTAATTATGAAACATGATTATGGCGCCATCTATGAACTATAAATCCACAACTCCAGTTCATGTGACCCGACCAGGAGTGTGCGCGTAGCAACATTTTTAGCTAGTTAGAATACAGAAAAGTGTCGAGAGATGGCGCTTCTACCCGTCACCCAAGCTCGAAGGCAACCTACATATTTTGGTGTAAATCTAGCCGCCTACAGATGTCACTAGTATTACAAAAAGCATGTACACCGTTAAATTTCGTCATTAGTTGAACAGGTGGCGCTACAGAAAAAATACTGAATCCTTAGTGATTGAAACATTAAATGTTTTTAAACTATTTAAACTCTTGTCATAACGTCTGAACGTCTTTGTATCAGTTTCAATTCCTTTTAATCAGTCGCATCAGTGTGAGAAGAGGTAGTGTGTAAGACATTCCACAGAGTAAAGACAACTGAAATTAACGTGTAGCATTTGTTTTCTCAGTAATTTGTTTAAGTGTTCGGAGGTGTTTATGTTTTCAGAAATAATTGAAAAGATGTTGTGTTCAGTTTATAAAATGTATTCCCTACATCAGTACTCGCATGTATTCGTCACTGGATCTCATCATCATTCTTAGTTTGTAAAAATGACACTATAAAATATGACGTTAAAGATTTCGTGAGTTTCCTTAGTTTCCTTATAAAAAAAATTACGAAAAAGATGGCAAACGAGCAGACGGCTTACGTGATCGGCAGTAGTCAAGGTTGTTCATAGACATCCGTAACATATATTATGGTACGGATGCGTTGCCGACCTTGGTTGTTAAGAAAGAGACAGGCATGATAATAAGGAAACGGCAGAAAGGGTGGTGACAGGGAACGAGCAACCATAGCTAGTCTCTACCATTTTAAGAACACTATAAACAAAGTTTTTCAAGTCTGCGAATCAACCACAGAGTATTTATTTTAATGCGCGGCCTACCTTTAACAGATGCGGGTCTCTCTCGGCCGCCTCCAGCAGTGACTCCGCCTCGCTCAGCCAGCCCACGAACCGCTCCAACGAACGATCGAAGTTCTGCAGCGACGACACCGCCGAGTGGAGAGCCTTACCGCGCGCCACGATACTGATGACAAAACAAATTATTAAATATTTATCCATATTGAAAAAACAAATAACATAAGGAAAACTTCTAATATTTGTGATAAAAAAGTAAATAAAAACCAATCCAACGATTGTTTATAAAAGATGACATTTAGTATATAATAGCATTTTTATAAGACGACACGAGAGCATAAAGAATTCAATTTTAAGTTATGTATTTGAGTTAAGCTGAGCTTTGCATTTGTATGAGTGACAGTAAAAGTAGAGTTAGACAAAAAAGTTTTAGAATTCAATTTTATTATATTTTAAATAGACACATAACATAAGTGCTATAAAATAAGCAAAACTTGTAAAAGGCCAAATGGAAATAATGTGAATATTATGGAAAAAATAATTATTGGTTAATAAAAATTTTGATATAACTATACAAATTCTTATTCACTTGACATTACCTTTTCAACATTTGATTTTGCTACCAATACAAAAGGTGAAATGAGGAAGGTGCGGGGCGTAGTAAAAGCAGAATAAACCGGTTTTCTCATATTAAATTGTGTATATAATATATGAGACATATATATATATATGAGACATATATATATATATATATATATATATATATATATATATATATTTAAAAAAAAACCCGCTGAGTTTCTTTCGCCGGTTCTTCTCAGGTCAGGGTATTTTCTTTTCCGAACCGGTGGTAGTGTCTCAAGTGACCATCAATAAGAAAGTGTAATGCTTCTATATTGAATAAAGTAGAGTTTGAGTTTGATTCAAAACTAGAAAAGAACGTAACATTCAAAAATTTGACATCACACCTAAAATATCCGTGTGCACTCATACAAATGCAAAGCTCAGCTTAAATCAAACGCACCATAATATATTAGTTAAAAGGTAAGGTGGCGTCATCTTTAGTATATCTCCAGCAATATAGCCGACGCTATTTGAGCACTTATTTTGTCTGGAACACAACAGATGGCGCTATCTGAACTTGAGTGAACAACGCTTTCTCTGTACATTTTTGTTTGTCATGTTAACAGTAGTTGAGGGGTAATGTTTTAAGTGTCTACAGTCATATATATTTCTGTTACCTATTATTAAGTTCGTTGTATCGGTGGTTGATGGCCTCCGTGGCTCGTTTGATGCGCGTCGTGTCGTCGTTCCTGTACACCGCTATCAGTCTCTGCGTCAGTTGACCGAACAGCTCTATCTGGTGCTTGTACTGATGAACTTCCGCGTGGAACGACTGGAAATATATACACGAATATTAAGATTTTGGAATCGTCATATAAAATGTCATATGCATTTCTTCGATAAGAAAAAATTAGGATGCAATGGATTTGATTTTATTATAATAAAGTATTACTTTAAGTTTTTATTGCAACGTAAAATTATCAAATATAATTAAATTGAGGCTCATTCCAATCGGAATATTCACTTTTTCACAATAACGTTATATAATGTTAGGACAGCCTCCCTGTGTAGTACCTTCTGTTCCCTGAGCTGCATCTCCAGTACGTCAGCCGTATGTCCGGGAGGAGTCATCTCAGCCAGTCTGGTCTCCATCCTAGTGAGCCAGGCGTCTGCGTCTCTTCTCCTCGCCTCGTATCTCTGAGAGTCTCCCAGCATGGCATCCAACTGAGCCTTCCGCTGCAACACGCGAGCGTTCGCCTCATCCCAGTGTTCACGGAGGGCCGTCACTATAAGAAACACATTCAATTAGTATTACATACAAGACATTTAAATTTTGTTTATGATCTAAGATTACTGTAAATAGAAACTGAGCACTTTTAGTGAAGTGTTGGTTTAATATTTGAGTGATCGGCACAAATTATGGGTATATTTTTAAGGAACATTAAAACTGCTTCAAACTTTTGTGATGTACGTATAATACTTTATTGTCTTTTCTACATTCTGAACCACATTAAACATAGTTGGCTTAACTTAGTTCAATACTTTACTTATTTTAAATATTAACATACACTTAAAGTTTAATAGTAATCTTTTGCTATAAAATCCTTCTATGACAATAAATATAAGAACATGATATAAAAATGTTGAGCATCAAGCTGTAAACATAATATTGAATCGCGACAGAGAGCCTCCTAGCTATTTTATAAATATAACAAAAAGGCTTTGAAGTATCATTTTTCTTTTCAATTCTTTCATTGAGGCAACACAACGGCCATTGGAATGTACACGAGCAATACGAGGAAGGTGATCTTCAAAGAACGATGTTGTCTTTGAACATACTAACATAACATTCAGTTGGAAAAGATGGAACTCTGTATAACATAAATATGTATATATATGGATTATTAATACAAGTTATATAAAAAAAGATAAAGATTTTTGAAGGTTATTCTGATATTTTAAATAACTGGCTAACTACCTCTCATATCAGAGTAAGAGATCTATGTTATGAAGAACTATACATGTAAATGAAACTAATAATTTTCGGATATACTACGCTTACTTTATTTTTGTAAAAAGCTACATAAGTCCTGACGTTTCAGCCACTTTTCAGCAACCGTGATCACGGACAGACGAGATGTGACAGGCACACGTAGTACGTAGTAGTGATACGCGTAGTATATCCAAAAATATTATTTATTTAAATTAATAAAACTCGCGACAAACTGTACATTATTAATATCATGAATATATTCCGTTCACACGTCGTTCTTCCATCAGTAATATACAAATTATATTATTATATTAAATGTGTGTTAACATTCATGAAGTACATTCACATCATTTATTCATACAATATTTATGTCGTCGGTGCGAGGGGAGCTGTTCACTGTTCAGTTGCCAGTCTAATAAAATTCAAATACAACGTCTGTGATTATATGAAATACTGTTTGTCTCGCTGGAACAATAAAAAAATATTACGTTACAAAAAATTATACAGAACGAGATTAATATATATAATGGAAGGTAAACAGTGAGGAAGCCATTATATAGGAATGATTAGAAAGTGGACTCGAGTTACTTGGATCACAAGCAACAGAATACAGAGAGGGACGGGACGAGGAAAAATATAATGAGAACAGAAGAATTGAATAATGAAATGTTTTGCTCTGTTTATAATGAACGAGTGGCGAGGTTATGATATTTAATACTCTGATAATTACTGTGAATATACAATTAAAATTTTCTTTAAATACACACACAAACACAGCAGTAGTTGTCTCGCGCTAAATCCTGAGCTCATGTTAATAATCATATAGAAGCAACCTTCTGATAACTCACAGTAGTTTTCCACTGTAGTTACACACTTCATCAAACAAAATATGTCAAGTTCTGTGATCCGTGGTCTGCCTCCCTCCCGAGCGCTCCTTTAATAAATCTAAAGTCAACCCATTAGCTGAAAGCCTTGCACTAGTTGTAATAAGGTTCAATATATAACAAAAAAAAACTCAATTCTTGGACCAAATTGAAGTAATTTAACATCACTGCAAGTTAAACTCGTCCGCGGGGAGGTTTTAGTTCTGTTTGGATAAACTTATGTCATCTAAAGTTTATGTCAGTGTCTGTGATTTTAGTAAAAATTAAGAACCCCTTAAATAGAACATATCGATTGTAGTCATTGGGAAATCCACACAAATATTACAAATAACGTATAATATTATGATTAGTAATGTTTTGTTCAACCAGGTTATTAGTTGTTAGTGATATGTTCTGAAGCCTCACACCACACTGTAGACAGACCTAGGTCGAGACCGAACCTTTCAATAGAGATCGCAAGTGTAACAAATGACCACTTGTTTTGGATGCTGGGAACCCGGAGATATCTGAAGTGATATATAAATAATATGAAATATAAATATTATTATATACATAAGTACTAACGGTCCAAATTAAATGTTTCCTCATTCATGTAAGTTTATTAACTAATTGTAATATTAGTTTATAAGTATCTGATGCCTTTTATTATACAGAAAATTATTATTTTTGGTACCCCAATATAGAAGGGCTTTTTCATCACTGTTGATGAAACATTAGTGAAATTCCATCACGATCGATCGAGTGATAAGTAAGTTTAGAAAAAAAATATTTAAGTTTAAGTGAAAGTAAAAAAAAATCTACAAGTTAACGAACATTATAACTTTCTGGCTAAAGTTATAATGAAGCTGAAAACGGTACAAATGTACATATCTTTTATATATATATACATATACATATATATATATATATATATATATATACACGCACACGTACATTTATTATATAACAAGTTGTTACTAAGAGAATACCTTAACATAAGAAAACACTTGGATAATGTCAATAAATAAAATCGATGAACCAATGAAGTGAATATTCAATATAAACATTACTGTAGTTTTGTCGAGGCCTTTCCCAGAATTTCTACCCAAGTTATAATTGAATTCAGTTAGTTCAACTCTCCTCCAAAGAAAAACACTGGAGTTTATAAACGATCGGAGCACTATAACAAACAATTAACATTCATATTATATACAATATCTTTCATACAACTAAATACTTTTTGTTTACTTTGAAAAAACTATAATTTATTAACGCTGAGTTAAAAACGAGTTCACTACTCAGGTTAATGCAATTTTAATATGAAGAATATAATACGGTAGAATGTATGCCAGCGACGTACAGACCACTCAGAGCGATCAGGAAACAGTTTCTAAATAGATTCTTTTATAAATATATTTTTTGTACGAAAAAAGAACAAGCGTTGAAATGTTAAGTTATATTATAATATGTCGATAAATTAACAGAAATATGAGAAACGTAAAAAGCAACCATTAAACATGAAGATAGCAACGTGCACAGTATCGGAAGCGTTCACCAAAACAAACAACCCTCTCGCCGTTAACGCGGAGCGCAAAAAATATTGAAGCTCGGGTTAATTAGAGCCGGCATAAGAGAGAGAGAGCAAAAACGAAGCGTTAGGAACGACTCACTGGCTTTATTGATGACGAGACATTTATTGGAATATATATAGAGGACTGGGAAACAGGATCCTGACACACTTACAGCGACGAGCACTTACACTCCACGACCTCCGACCTACACGAACTACGGCCTTATATTATGTGTGGTGGGAAGGAGCCTACTGAAGGACGGACACGGGGAGGTGGCCTTGACGGCTGTACTGATAAACGAATGTAGGAAGTCCGAAAGGAAATAGTCATGAATTAAAAGCTTTCTATAACAAGAATATAAGACTAGTTATATAATATAGTACTAAGACAAAGGCAAATCTTATTAAAACGACATTGTGTTTGGACCACTATGAAATAACTGAAGATAATTAAAAAGTCACAGTCTGAATGAGACATAATATAATCTCATCATCATCAGCCAAAAGACGTCCACTGCAGGACATAGGCCTCCCCCAAGGATAATATAATACTAAAAGCAAATCTTACAACATAAAGTATGTATAAAAAATAAGTGTTTATAGAAAACTTATCCGTTAAGACTACGTTTTGTCACAGAATGTAATTTACTATGATTTTCACATAAACTACGAGCATTTTTAAATAACTTTTCCCGATGTTTCCGTTACTAAACAGCAGTCTCTAACAGAACCAGAAGAGGTGAAGGTGTACTACTACTAACAGATATTCTTCTTAGTCGTCATCTACCGCCAACGATTTCTTAATTTTCTTATGTACTAATCTGTATATGGATGCAGTTAGCGCACACTGTGTGCTTTGCGTGTAGTTTAAACTAATATCATATTTTAAATTTAATTGTTTAGATTTTTCAATCTCGGATCAAAATAAACTATATTGAAAGTATATCTTTAATTAATAACACTTTATTGTCATATTTATATTTATACGTATATCAGACGGTAAATGAGACACTACTAATAAATATTATATTTTGTGAAAGCTGTTTTAGTCCTCTTTTTTACCCTTTAATATACTGAGGTGTTAATTCAGACATATCGATGAGATATTACTATTAAAAATCATTATACGTCGACGGAATATATCTGAGATCTCGGTACATAGTGTTCCTTCAATAAAATATCATGTAATGAGACAAGGTACAAATGTAATGGAGGAGTGTATCCCGCTAGGAAGGTCAAGACGTCCCCAGGATATTTAGTTGAAGTCTTGGTGCTTGTATTAACTAAGGTTTTAACTTTATTGATTTCATAACTATTTCAATCCCTCGTAATATTTTTTTTTCTCTTAAAAAAGAAACATTATTGAATGACCACAGCATTAATATCAAGCATTAATGACACAGTTTCAAAATGTATAAACAACTTATAAAAATAATTGTCAGGCTTAGTGTTGTAGAAATAAAAATTAAACAAAATAAATTTTGAACAAATATATTTTCCTATCTCTAGTATGACCAGTCAGATCATCAAAGATTTACTCGCAGTTTCACAGCGGAATTTGATGAAATGAAAGCCCGTTCATTAATTATAGGCGTCCCAGATCCATACCCGGCGATCACATGTTACATATACATCCATACATACAAGACCGCGACTCTTAGAACATAACTGATAAAACGTTGATTCTCGTTATTAATAAAAAGTCTCTCGAAGATACCGCTGACACTCGCCCTGGCCGTGTGTAGCGTGGTTTTATCTTAATTATAAATTCTGAGTTAAAGGCATATTTATATAAAAGTAATTTGTGTAAGTGAAACTGTATTTAGCTTTTTGTTACAGTTTGTTTAATTATTAAATGTA